TGAGTCAAAACAACCCAACCGCTGGGTCAAAACAACCCAATAGCTGGGTTTGTCCTTTTTTAACCCAGCACTCGGTTATATTTAACCCAGCATTTTTTAGAGTGTAGACATCATATAACCAAACCTCATGTTTTACATGCTACTGTATGTCTTTCATCCATATGCAGACACGCAAAGCTGGCAAATCTGCATACTATGACGTTCATTACTGGATAGGCTCCGTGTCGACACTGGATGAACAGGGAGCTGCTGCTGTCTATGCCATTCAGCTGGATGAGTTCCTGGGCTCCTCTCCTGTCCAGCATCGCGAGGTGCAGCACCACGAGTCCAGCATCTTCTGTGGATATTTCAAGCAGGGCATAATGTAAGCATCTGAAAACTGCAGTCCACACCTCACCAGGCATTCGGTGAAGTAAAGTTGTTTCTTTGATTAGTTTCAAAGCATTGCTTTTCAAAAAAAAAAAAATGTCTCGGCTCTAATTATAATTGTGCAAAATAATTGATAAAACTTGTGCAAGTTAGACAAAAAAATAAGAACAACAGTGGATGTAACCTAATAAAATTGCAAAACAACAAACATTATGGGTTGACATGACAAAATATAAATACATTAAAAATACTTCTACAAGTGGCTAAATTTAATAATAATTTCTAGGTGTTACCCAACTGAAAATTGTGATTTTAGTTCTTTTTACGGACCCCCTACAATTGTTTAACTAAACCATTACTCAGCACTAGCTTTGCACCGGCTGTTAAATTGCCATTGGTTCATGAGAATTTCATAATAGCTGCGATATTTTAGTTTCATTTCTTCACACAGTCCATCAAGGTCAGACACAAGTAAAAGCATGAGAGATCCAAGTGCAAGCTTTTATTAAAATGTAAAGTGCGTAATCCAAACAGGCAGGTTCCAACACCAGCAAACAGTAATATCCAGGGCAAAGCCGAAGCCTTTTCCTTGAGAGGGAAGCCCATATTGATCTAATCAGTGTACCGCTGCTCAGACACTTCAACCTTCTATTTATCCCTCAGCGAAGAACGAAGGAGAACTTTGCAGAGAGAGTATATCAGGGTTTTAACTCGTGCGCATCTAAGTAAAACATAGTTTGCTTTACAGGGCCCCCTGGTCTCTTGGGGCCCCTAAGTGGCCACTCATAGTTAGAAATGGCCCTGCTACTTATTATGGACACAAATTTGAATGTGTTTGGTCCATGAAGAGGACGGAAAGCATCAAATATATGTCTTTATATATCCTTAGTTATAATTCAGGAGGGGTGTCATCGGGAATGAACCATGTGGAGACAAACACTTATAACATTCAGAGACTGCTGCATGTGAAAGGAAAAAGGAAAGTGACTGGCACAGAGGTGAGCAAACTCTTTGCCTGAAAGGGATAGTTCACCCAAAAAAGAGAATTCTGTCATCATCTACTCAGCCGTAAGAATTTCAATCACCTTCAGAACACAGATGAAAATATTTTTAGAGGAATCTGAGAGATTTCTGCCCCTCCATTGACAGTCCATGCATCTACCACTTTGATGCTTCAAAGAGTTCGTAAAACCAGTCCACATTAATCGAGCAGTTTAGTCCCAGTTTTCTTGAGAGACTTGATCGCTTTATATGATGGACAGATTTAATTTAATTTCTTTTATTCACATATTTACATATTTAATTAAAAATATCTTCATTTGTTTTCCATTTTTGGGTGAACTATCCTTTTAAGTAGTGTCTTCTAGTACCACAGGTACCAAAATGGTCCCTAATGTGATTCTCAAGATACAAATTATCGAATGCACTGGCCAATTTGCAGGTGGAAATGAGCTGGAACAGCTTTGACACTGGGAGTGTCTTTCTGCTGGATCTTGGCAAGACCATTCTCCAGTGGAATGGCCCTGAAAGCAACAAACAAGAACGCCTGAAGGTATGAGTTACATGAGCGATCGTAAGGTTTTGGGTTCTTTTAGATCGTAATGTCATGCTGCTCCTTGTTGACTGTAAGGGCATGATGCTGGCCAAGGACATCAGGGATCGTGAGAGAGGGGGTCGGCCAGAAATCGGCGTGATTGAGGGGGATGCAGAGGCAAACTCCCCGTCATCAATGGAAGTGATGGTGAGCATTTTGGGTGAACGGCCCTCTAAACTGCCCAGCGGGACTCCGGATGAAATAACTGACCAGGAGCAGATGTCTAAGCTCACCCTCTATCAGTAAGTGCTGTCAGCTCCAAGTTTACGTCTTACATGCTAGCTGTTTGTATTAACTAACATGTCGTTTGATTGATTAATCGGCTCACCTGATGTTCACGGGGTACTAGTTCGAATGTCTACCAGTCCTCTAACAAACCTTGAACTTTGCAGTGTGTCGGACGCTAATGGAGCTATGAATATCACAGAGATTGCAACCAGTCCACTCACACAGGACATGCTGAATCACGATGTAAGTGGTAATTTGTGTAAAATGCATTATTAATTTACTCCCATTAGACCATTGCAAGTCAATCCAAAACATAATTTGACCAAATATTTACTTTCATGCAATTGTGTTCATTTGTATTTAATTGGTTGGTCAGAAAGTAAGTTTGCAAAAATTTCTAAAGTATAGAAACCTTTTGATGAAAACGGTTTGTGCAGCAATCACAGACCCTTTGAGAGATAATATTTGCATGTGAGTTAATTAGAAATTAAATTCATTACCTTAAAATCAATTTCCACAAATGAATACATTCACATAAAAATTGTGGAAGGCATCTCTGCACTCGCCTCTGAGAATCATAGTTAACTACATGTCACACCGTGGCACACTAAACCGATAAATATAAAGGCCTAGACTTTTTTTATTATTATGAATATATATCATATGTCAGAAAAAAAATAAATAAAAAGGAGTAGACTAATGCTGTCACAATCTGGTCCACAAAGAACCAGAAGGAATCCATTCAAATAGTAGAGTTACTTTAATTACACCACACAAAAGATGAGTAGCGAAGTAAAAGTGTGTATTAAAACACAACCAACACCAGACGATGAACAGAAAGAACTGAAGGGGCTTAAATACACAGGCAAACAAACTCAGGTGTGCTCTAATTAGTAACAATGAATAATCATGACAACTGATGATAGGTAGGAACAAGTAAAAAAAAAAAAACAGACAGGTATAAAATCCATGAAAATTAAACTGAAACAATAACAGAACGTGACAAATGCACAACGTTTCTGACCCTGATGACTACATTTGCAACACGTTTTAATATCATTTATGTAGTGTATATAAATATACTACGAAGATATAATATGTTATTTAGTAGTATTTCAGTTAATGGAAAATGGAGCATTCATTCATTCACTAATTCATTCATTTATTTGGTCACACTTTATATTAGGTGGCCTTAACTACTATTTATAAAACGGAGAGTTCCGGTGCTTGATTCTGATTGGCTGAGCCGCGTTCGAAGCTGTTGTAAATTACTCTACAAACATACACCTTTGTTTACATTTGTCTGTTGCTCGGCAACCACTTTGTTACAACCACAACTGTTTCTGAGGAACTACATTGTTTGGTGGAAGAATACTGTTTTTGTTCATATCATTACACTTTATTTGCTCTGTTTTATTTTGTGAAACCATATACTACGTATATGGAATAACCGTTTTATAAAAGCAATAAGCCCCGTGAAGCCGTGGTTTACAGTGAATTTATAACAGCTAGGGGCGTAAAACCCCCTTAGCTGTTATAAATTCACTGTAAACCACGGCTTCGCGGGGCTTATTGCTTTAGTACTTACATCAAAGAATAAGTACAATGTACTTAATGTGTTCATATTGTATTGCAAAACACCTTTGCTGCTATTGTGGTGGGATATGGGTAAGTTTAAGAACAGGTTTGGTGGTATGGTTAGGTGTAAGGGATGGGTCAACAGTGTAATTATAAATGTAATTACAGAAATTAATTACAGACTTAATTACATATAGGTATTTTTAAAAATATAAGTACAATGTAAAAACATGTGTGTACTCAATAAGTGCATTGTATCAAATTATTAATTTGAATGTAAGTACATAGTAGTTAAGGCCACCTAATATAAAGTGGGACCATTTATTTATTTCAGGACTGCTACATTTTGGACCAGGGGGGGATGTCAATATTTGTGTGGAAGGGAAAGACAGCCAACAAAGCAGAGAGACAAGCAGCAATGACCAGGGCTCTGGTGAGTTTCTGTTTCTGTTTCTGTCTTCTCCAGATGTTAACTGATGGACTGGAGTGCTGTGGATTACTTGTGATGTTTTTATCAGCTGTCATCACTTGAATTAAAGTTTGATTTACTTATAAATTTTATTAATTTGACAGGAGTTCATTAAAATGAAGGGTTACCCACTCACTACTAAAGTGGAGGCTATCAGTGACGGAGGAGAATCGGCTCTCTTCAAACAACTCTTCAAGAGCTGGACTGTCAGAGAGCAGACAGCAGGTCTGGGCCGGACACACACTGTAGGGAGAGTGGGTACGTGTCTGATGCCATGCCTACTTTGAGACGTATGCTTTATTGACTGTTTTTTTCAGCTGAAAGTCACCAATGTATTTTGTAGAGAAGTGTGAAGTTGTTATATTTGGAGACCATTGTGAGGCTTGTTTTTACTGTAGTCTGCAGCTGTAGCCATGATGCTGATTTTAGATAGCTGTGATGATGAACAGAATAAGAATGACTGCATGCTGGTCCATAAGCTCTGCTCTGTTCTTTCATTAATTAGCTGATGTCACTCAAGAGAAGTTTGATGCCGCTAGGATGCATGTGATGCCTGATGTTGCTGCACAGGAGCGCTTGGTGGACGATGGCAGCGGACAAAAGCAGGTAAGGAGGAGATGAGTAATGTTATTGATGCAGATGTGAAAAACAGCACATACCTATGAATCAGGATGTAATATACACATAGAGATAATTGAGATAACATTGCAATAATTGACAGAAAATGGAAAAAAAAGAACATTCATGAGAAAAAGTCATCTCGAAAAACTTCTCCGTCCTTAGGTGTGGCGCATTGAGAATTTGGAGATGGTGGAGGTGGAACCTGAAATGCATGGATACTTCTATGGAGGCGACTGCTATCTGATTCTGTACAGCTATGATGTTAATGGCAGGAACAGCTACATTCTTTACATGTGGAAGGTAGAGTGACATATTTCCTTTATCTATGTAGAAGAGAGTTTTATGGCACTAAGGGTTGTTGATCATTTTACCACCCACCAAAAAAGTCATATGAGTATGACATCCAATCATGTGATGTTCACAAAATGTAATTATAAACCCAGAAAACAAAAGTAGTGTAAACAAATCCCTGTCTTCTATGATTATGCACCTCAAACATATATCAGAAAATGTAGTTTTAGTGCTTCACGCCCTTTAAACAAACATCTTCAGAATATTTTTACTTTCGTGTCTCGCTGCCAGAACATTTGTTATTGCCTTATACATATTACAGCATCAAATGTTATTTTCTCTTTTGACACCTGTACAACTGTTAAATCTACACAGTACTAGTGTACTCAGTAAGCTTTAAAGGCATCATCGGATGCTACATGCACTTTTACATGTTGTTTGAACATAAATGTGTGTTGGCAGTGTGTGTACACAACCACCCTATAATGATAAAGATCCACCAAATGTTTTTTTTTTAATCTACTAAAATCTTTACCCCTTTCTCAAATCGAGCCGATCTCAGATGCCTGTCTGTGTGACGTCACAAAAACAGGCCCCTCCCACGAAAGTTTGATTGACAGTAGCGTTTCAACTATGTTACAGACTTTTCATTAAGACCCTAAAGAATCATATCAACTTGTGGAAAATGGGCATCCGATGACCCCTTTAATGCTTAACATAGCTGATGTTCTCAGTGAAGAGGTCAAGTCGCATGTAATAATGAGGGTGATCTGTTTTGCTGGCAGGGACGTCATGCGTCTCAGGACGAGGTAACGGCCAGTGCGTATCAGGCTGTGACTCTGGACCAGCAGTATGGAGGTCAGCCTGTTCAAGTCCGAGTCTCCATGGGGAAGGAACCACGGCACTTCATGGCCATCTTCAGGGGCAAGATGGTTATCTTCGAGGTAGCACATTACTTGTTTTAAAAAGAGATTTTAAAAAGACATATGATTAGTGAACCGTTTGTCACAGCTTAAACATTAATTTGGCAAGAGGTACACGGTCCTGTGCTCAACCTCTACCTTTTCCTTTTTAATTTTTTAACCAAAGTCACATTCTGTGTAAATGTGACGGAATTCACTGGTTGACTTCTATTGATTAATTTGCTGCAGAAAGCGGTAGACTTAATTCTGTTGCAATGACTCAAGCCAATCGACTTAATTTCAGATTAATACAGTAGAGGATTTTTTCCCTTGTGTTCTGTCCTACTTTAATGTTCATTTTAAACATCCAAAAGACCAATACCATTAAAAAAAAAAATGCAGACACATTCTCCCTAACCCTTTTTTATTTTTATTATTTTTTTTATCTTAAAACTCAGAGAAGAGAGACTACAGCATTTTATCATTTATGTTATATGTAAAAGCTTGCTTTTGGAATATGCTTTACAGCATGTAAACAGCAATATGAAATAGCTTATTTAGCAGATTCATGAATGAATGAATGAATAAATAGCTTAAAACCAGCAATTAAAAAAAATAGTAATAAAATAAAGGTAACACTTTAGTTTAGGGACCAATTCTCACTATTAACTAGTTGCTTATTAGCATGCATATTACTAGCATAATGGCTGTTTATTAGTACTTATAAAGCACATATTAATATTTTACTCTGCATGACCGTATTTTAGATCCCTTAATCCACCCCATACCTAAACTTAACAACTACCTTACTAACTATTAATAAGCAGCAAATTAGGAGTTTATTGAGGCAAAAGTTGTAGTTAATAGTTACATTAATAGTGAGAATTGGTTGTAAAGTGTGACCAAAGTAAATAACAGAGGAACACAAAACAACTCAAAATGACAGAGAAGGTCATAATCAGAAAATAAGTAAAAATTTTATGAAAATGTTTGTGTTCACTATGTAGCCTAATAAACCTACATTTCTGTTAATGCAACAACCTCTTTAAAACAATACAAACTACTATTAAGATATTAAGTTTAACATTTTTTCACCTATGTGCTGCTTTTACATTAGAAACTGCGATAACATTATAATTTGCTACAATGTGTTCATAATGCAATCTCAGACATGCAATATCCTATTACCTTATGTGAAAGACGCTGACATTATGAGCTAAAGATTTTATTACGAACGTGCATAAATGTTCTGTTTTCATAATACTTAAAGGGGTCATATGATGCTGCTAAAAAAGAACATTATTTTGTGTATTTGGTGTAATGAAATGTGTTTATGCAGTAAATAAAACACATTATTTTCCACATACTGCACATTATTGTTTCTCCTCTATGCCCCGCCTTTCTGAAACGCGTCGATTTTTACAAAGCTCATCGTTCTGAAAAAGCGAGGTGTGCTGTGATTGGCCAGCTATCCAGTGCGTTGTGATTGGCCGAATACCTCAAGCGTGTGACGGAAATGTTACGCCCCTTTCCATACTGTGATGCCGTGTCCCGGCCGGAGCGACCAAAACCAATAAAACCCATTACAAACGAGGCATTCATTGCATCCAGTGGGGACATAATTATGGAATATAATGACTTGTACTGTCTTTATACGCGTTGCATCGCGCCGCGTAAACATAAAACCATGTCTGCATTTGTGATCGGAGAAACGACAAACAACAAGCGCTACTCTACACTGCCCAAAAAACTCGCTTTAAATATATAAAATATAAAAACGCTTTAAAT